GCTCTGCGGCGATCTCCAAAGAGCAGCGCTGGGATCCGCCGCCCGAGTTCTGACCCCGCCCCCATGGCCGCCGTCCTTTTTGAGCCCGCGTAAGGGGGCGGAGCCAGATACCACGCCTCTGTCAGAGTCACGGCCTCTCGGGCGGTGGGAAGCCCCACCCAATCCTTCCGCTCCGCCCAATCACGAAGTCCCATCTCGCTTTGAGCTGTAAGACACGGCCCTCGGGGCCTGGACGGGGCCTGGACTGGGACTGGGCTGCTGGACACCTTCCTTACCCCGGAGCCCCACCCGCCGTTCTCCTGGCCCCTTGCGCCTCCCGTTGGAGGAATGAAAAGAAAGCCGCCTTGGAAACCAGACAGATCTGGACCTCAGTCATCTCTGAACCTTAGTTTCCAACTCGGAAAAATGGGACAATAATACTCGCCTCTCAGGGCCGCCGTGAAGATAGGCACAGTTTGGAGTAAGGCACAGCCATTGGCGGCTCCAGAATTTCTAAATCGGACGGATTTGGTAGAGAGTTGTGTGGGGGGTACCTCGAGGTGGGGTTAGTGGAGGAGGACACAGGGGAGCTTGAAGTTAAGTTTGCAGAACACTCCACCGAAGGCAGAAAATAATGGCAGCGGACGGAGGTGGAAGGGCCCTTGGCTCGGCCCCGATCCTGACCTGTGGGCCCCGCCCTGACTGCTACCCCCGACCCCCGGCAGTCAGCAGCCTGGGGCCCTGCAACCACGGCTCAGCGCTGACTGTCGCGATGGGCTGTGTCCTGGTATCCCGCTGCAGAGCGGGCCGCGCCTCCAATGGTGGTGTCAGCGTCCCCACTTTGCCCCAGTGCTCAGCCCCGGCAGCTAAGCGCAGGCGGCGGGGGAAATTGAGCAGGGACCGAAGTGTGTGGGTGGACGAATAGGCGTTCACCCAACTCCTTTTAGGGCATGGCCCATGCTATTCTCCCCGCTCCACCATCATCTTCTGCATCACCCCCTCACTACAGAAACCGGTGTAAGCGTTCTCATCTTTAAAGAAATTCTCTCTTGATCCCACATCCCTCTCCAGCTATCTCTCTTTTATTCTACTCCCCTTGAGAGTAAAATTCCTCTGAGTTGTCTATCGCCCTGCCACCCTTGCTTTCCTCCCGTTCTCTCTTGAACCCACTCCAGTCAGGCTCTTGTCCCCACCAGTCCTCTGAATTAATTCCCTCTTCAAAAGGTCTATAATGACTTCCAGGTTATCAAATCAATGGTGGTTTCTCAGCTTTCCTCTTACCCTGTCTAGGAGCAGCTCTGGTCCAGGTGCACTCCCTCTTCCCCATGGCTTCATGCCTTCCTCCTGCCCCACTGACTGCTCCTTCTCCACCTCCTTTGGCAGCGTCTCATTTACTTCTCAAAGTGGCCATCAGATATTTCCCCTCTACATTCACTCTCTGGGACCCCATCCTGTTCTGTGGCTATCAATAACACCTACATGCCAAAGACTCCCAACTGACATGTCCAGCTCTGGCCTTCCTCCAAGAACCCCAGACTCTAGTATCCAACAGCTTGTCAAACCTTGGATATCTACTAGATATCTCAAATCATCATGTCCCAATTTAAACTTGCAATTTCCCTAGCTCCCTAACTCCTTCCTCACCTCGGTTAAACAAAACAAAAAACAAAAAAACAAAACAAAAAAAACCCCGCAATACTATTCATCTGCCTGGTCCAGTAAAAATTATGGTTTTCCTTCCTTTATCTTCTGTGTCATACATCAGATTCTGCAAATTCCACCTTCACAATCTGTTCCACACCTGGCTTCCATGGTTGTCCCTGACACTTGTCTCATGCCTGGATGTCTTAACAGTCTCCTGATAGAGCTCCCTGCTTCTACCCTTACCCAGTCCAGAGTCTTCTCCATGCAGCAGCCAAAGTGGTATTTTTATTTTTATTTATTTTCTTAAAAGATGTATTTATTATTGTATTCATTTATTTTATTTATTTTTGGCTGCATCTGGTCTTAGTTGCGGCACGCAGGATCTTCATTGAGGCATGCAGGGTCTTTAGTTGCAGTGCGCGGGCTTCTCTCTAGTTGCGGTGCAGAGGCTCCAGGGCGTGTGGGCTCTGTAATTTGTGGCACACAGGCTCTCTAGCTGAGGCGCACGAGCTCAGTAGTTGTGGCACACGGGCCTAGTTGCTCCGCGGCATGTGGGATCCCAGTTCCCTGACCAGGGATCAAACCCACGTCCCCTGCATTGTAAGGTGGATTCTTTACCACTGGACCACCGGGGAAGTCCCCAAAGTGGTATTTTTAAAGCAGAAATCACACCACATCACCCACAGCTTTTAGCATTCCAGGGGGCTGGCATTGTGCTTAAAACTAAAGTCTTTCAGACATACATGACACTGATAAACTGGGTCCACCCCCCATCACTCTCCCCCTCGCTCACTCCACTCTAGCCACTCTGGCCTGCTCACTAATCCTCCAACACAGCAAATGTATTCCTGCCTCAGGGCCTTTGCACTTGTGACTCCTGCTTGAAACACCTTCTCCCAGATATCTAAACAACAGGCTGTCTCATTGTGTTCAGGTCTCTGCTCAGATGTTGCCTCCTCCTTCCTTGATTGTCCTATCTAAAACAGCAGCCCCCTGACACCTCACCTGCATAATGCACTAGTCCCTTATCCTGCTTTATTTTTCCCTATAGCACTTACCACCATTTGACATTATATTGTTTGTTTCTTCATTGCCCTTTGTCCCCATTAGAAAGTCATTCCTGTGAGAGCAGGGGCTTGTCTGTCTTGTTCAGCATCTCCCCAGTGCCTGCACACAGTGGATATGAATGAACAGATGAAGGAAGGACTGAGAAAGTGAAACAGCAAATGAGCAAAGGAAGAAGTGGCAGGCTGGGGCCCCTAGCAATCCTTCAACAGAGAGGGCCCTGGGATCCCATTCCTTGGGCCCCTGCAGGGCTCAGACCTAGATGGTGCCACTAAGAGCTCCCTGCACAGACAGCCCCTGGGTAGAAACAGGCCTTGGGCTAGGACACAGTGCCCCCTGGTGGTCAGGACACCTGCAGCTCCAGGGCCAGTTCCCTAGATGTTTCCAAAGATTTTCTCTTCCACAGTCTGGTTGGAACCTCACAAAAATAGCCATGAGACAAAAAGGTTTAGATTTGTAATAAAAAAAAAAGTATGCCAAAACAAAAAGAATCTACTGTATAAAACAGGAAACTATATTCAATATCTTGTAATAACCTATAATAGAAAATAATTTGAAAAAGAATGTATGTATGTATATATGTAACTGAATCACTTTGCTGTACATCTGAAACATTGTAAATCAACTATACTTCAATTTAAAAATGAATATAGGGCTTCCCTGGTGGCGCAGTGGTTGAGAGTCCGCCTGCCGATGCAGGGGACACGGGTTCGTGCCCCAGTCTGGGAGGATCCCACATGCCGCGGAGTGGTTGGACCCGTGAGCCATGGCCGCTGGGCCTGCACATCTGGAGCCTGTGCTCCGCAACAGGAGAGGCGACAACAGTGAGGGGCCCGCGTACCGCAAAAAAATAAATAAATAAAAATGAATATAAATGGGCTTCCCTGGTGGCAGAGTGGTTAAGAATCTGCCTGCCAATGCAGGGGACACAGGTTCGAGCCCTGGTCTGGGAAGATCCCACATGCCGCGGAGCAACTAAGCCCGTGCACCACAACTACTGAGCCTGTGCTCTAGAGCCCTAGAGCTACAACTACTGAGCCATGTGCCACAACTACTGGAGCCTACGCGCCTAGAGCTCATGCTCTGCTACAAGAGAAGTCACCACAATGAGTAGCCCCTGCTCGCTGCAACTAGAGAAAGCCTGCATGTGCAGCAATGAAGACCCAACACAGCCAAAAATAAAATAAATAAATAAATTTATTTTTTAAAAAAAGACTGAAAAAATAAAAAAATAATAATAATAAAAAAGACTGTATCATTGTGAAGTGACAGTAGAGTGTCACTGTCATAAAGATGAGGCTTGGGATGTACCAAGGGTGTGAGCAGCTGAGGTGGAACTGAGGTCAAGGGGCCAGGAGGCCGGATCTTTGGGGGCACGATCCTTGAGTGCATGGTGGCCCAGCGTTGGTGACAGGAACAGCAATAAGGGGAGGACAGTAAGGCAGGCACTAAAGTCTTCAAGAGACTCCTTATTTCCCTCTGGAGTGAGGACTCCTTGAGAACAGGACTGTGGCTGTAATGAACATGGCCGTGACCTCAGTGCCTGGCACAGAGTAGGCACCTGATCAAACTCGAATGAATGTATGCTTGGTATGTAATTTGATCTTTATCCTTGACAGTTGAGGGAGACTGAGGCCAGGGGTTCCACAGACGTGTCTGTGCATTTTTGAGTCTCAGTGGGGAGTGTTTTGGGTGTGCGCACATTTGAACTCCCTTCCACCTGCCCGTCTCCCCCCCGCCCCCAACTCCTCCCCAGCCCAGGCTTTCTGGTCCCTCAAAATCAGCCTCCACACTGCTTCCCTGGCTGACTATGTCCCTCTACTGAGGATGAGACCAAGCTCATTGTAGGATGGTGAGGTCTCTCATGTGCAGCTAACTCTCCCTCAGCCCCTTGGAGCCCGCCGGGTCCATGGTCTTCCCTTGCTCTCTGCACCCACCATGCCCACCTTCATCCTGGAAAGCTCCAGGGCTCACTGCCAGCCTGGTGAAGCCCTGTCTGCCCTTCACACTCAATTCAGGGGGCACCTCTCCCATCAGCAAGCCTTATTTCTCCCTCTGCCCTACTGTCGGAGTTATTTCTGCTAAACAGGACCACGTGGAGCCGTAATTACCTGCATCTCACCCTCCTGCTCCAGGAGACTTGAGCCTACTGGTGGCAGAGGTCAGGTCCAGGTCACGTGTGTCCCTGGAACCCAGCACAGGGCACTGGTGTTTGCTGCAATGCCTGTGTTTGAGGGTCTGTGTGGACCCGGGCAAGCCACTGCAAGGAGCCGTAGGGAGGTGGTATGGACTGTGGGCCACAAGGTGGGATGGAGAGGAGAACTAAAAGGCTTTATTACCAGCAAGTCTGTACACTATACACTGGGGGCCGGCAGGGCACCTGCGGGGTCCTCCCCAGGCTGTCTGCCTTGTCCCTCCAGGCTAGAGTGAGTGTGGGGGTGTGTCTGCAGATGTCCATTGTTACCCCGCCCTCTTGTCCCAGGGAGAGTGCATTCCTCTCCGGCAGCCACGATACTCGGTCAGGGCCTGTCGCAGGGAGCCGGTCCCTTCCTGCGCTCGCGGCTCAGCAGCGTCACCAGCTTGGCCTTGAAGCCCAAGTGGGCGCCGGCGCGGGCGGAGCCCCCGGCCTCGTCGCCGTTGTCGGCCAGCTCCAGCTCCAGCAGCCGACGGTACTGGGCCTCCAGGCTGCTGTCATGGGCCGCGGCGGGCCAGCCCAGGTCCTGGCTATTGTGGTAGATGCGGCTGGCCAGGGGGCTGCGGCCGCCCGGGCCCTCCTGCTCCGGACAGCCGACATCGGGCGCGGGGCCGGCGTCCAGCACGCACACGTTCTCGTACAGGTGCTCGGCGGCGTCCGGAAGCCGGCTGGCCCGCTTGCACACCGACGCGTAGAGCGCGGGCGCCGGCTCTTCCGGGGCTGCGGGGCCCAGCAGAGGGGGCAGGCTCCGGGGCCCGAGCTCGGCCGCGTGCGCCCTCCGGGAGCCGGGCGCCTCTGGCCCCGGGAGCACCTCCCGCAGCTCCCCCGGAGGCTCCAGCGAGGGCAGGGAGGTGGCCCGAGGCAGGGGGCAGGGCTGGGGCCCCGCCGGCTCTGGGAGCCGCTCCCGCTGGCGGGCGATGGCGGCGGCTACGGCCCCGCATAGGTCGCGGGAGCGGGGGCTGATGAAGGCGAAGAGGCCCTCGCCCGAGTCGCAGCGGCGGCCGGCTTCAAAGGAGAACACGCCCTGGGCACGGGCGGCACGGGGAGTCAGCGGCTGAGGGGCCGCCCGCCTACCGCTACCCTTCCCTGCGGGACCAGTGGGGCGGCCGCCCAGCACCTCACCTTGTCGGAGCCGAACTTGCGCAGGAAGCGGTAGGGCCAGGTGTAGAGCGCCTGGGGGCTGGCGGGCTCGTTCAGCTGGATGGAGTCCTGGCCCAGCAGCAGGAGGTAGGGCCCCTTCAGCTGGCAGCGGGCGGCTGCCTCCGTCCTCTGTACCACCACTGGAAACTCGACAACTGCAGGCACGGCGCCGTGAGGGCCACAAGCACAGCCCCCGGGCGTCCCGGAAAGATCCCAGCCCTGTTTGTGCTATAGGGCTGAGGCTGCCCCTGTACCTCCCCGACTCACCTTCCTGCCAGGAGGAGTAGATGGAGTTCTCCTCCATCTGGACCAGGCCCTTCTTGGGAGCCTCTGCCTCCCCTGATCCTTGGGAGCTCTCCCCTGTGCCCTGGGGAATGGGACAAGGTCAGAGGTTAGTGTCCCATCCACTCCTCTTCCCACATCCTTTCTCTGGGCTTCATGACAAGCAAGGGCACCCAGAGACCTGAGTGCCAGTCCCAGTTCTGCCCCTGACACACTGCAAGACCCTGGACAACCCTCTGAGCCTATTTCCCCACCTGCAATCCCCACCGGCTCCCCCTTGAGGGTGCTGAGTGCTATAAAGCAGAGGGCACAAACGAGGCTGTCCATTGCCCTTGAGGTTGGCCAGCGACTGGACCGGCCTGTGTGTGTCCCCGACAGCTTGGAGCAGTAAAGGGGTGGGAGCTTCAACGGTGGGACCCACGAGTGAATGGCCACTTGTTCCTCCCATCTCTGGCCTCTTTCCCCATCTCCCACCATGTCCTTTGGGCTCTGACCCTGAGCTCTCCATCATGACCACCTTGGCCCATGGTACCATGGCCAGGGTCAAATGCAATGGCTTTCCACTGGTCTCCTTGCCCCTGTTTATTTCCTCTTTTTTTTTTTTTTTTTTTTGGAGGCTCCAGCGAGGGCAGGGAGGTGGCCCGAGGCAGGGGGCAGGGCTGGGGCCCCGCCGGCTCTGGGAGCCGCTCCCGCTGGCGGGCGATGGCGGCGGCTACGGCCCCGCATAGGTCGCGGGAGCGGGGGCTGATGAAGGCGAAGAGGCCCTCGCCCGAGTCGCAGCGGCGGCCGGCTTCAAAGGAGAACACGCCCTGGGCACGGGCGGCACGGGGAGTCAGCGGCTGAGGGGCCGCCCGCCTACCGCTACCCTTCCCTGCGGGACCAGTGGGGCGGCCGCCCAGCACCTCACCTTGTCGGAGCCGAACTTGCGCAGGAAGCGGTAGGGCCAGGTGTAGAGCGCCTGGGGGCTGGCGGGCTCGTTCAGCTGGATGGAGTCCTGGCCCAGCAGCAGGAGGTAGGGCCCCTTCAGCTGGCAGCGGGCGGCTGCCTCCGTCCTCTGTACCACCACTGGAAACTCGACAACTGCAGGCACGGCGCCGTGAGGGCCACAAGCACAGCCCCCGGGCGTCCCGGAAAGATCCCAGCCCTGTTTGTGCTATAGGGCTGAGGCTGCCCCTGTACCTCCCCGACTCACCTTCCTGCCAGGAGGAGTAGATGGAGTTCTCCTCCATCTGGACCAGGCCCTTCTTGGGAGCCTCTGCCTCCCCTGATCCTTGGGAGCTCTCCCCTGTGCCCTGGGGAATGGGACAAGGTCAGAGGTTAGTGTCCCATCCACTCCTCTTCCCACATCCTTTCTCTGGGCTTCATGACAAGCAAGGGCACCCAGAGACCTGAGTGCCAGTCCCAGTTCTGCCCCTGACACACTGCAAGACCCTGGACAACCCTCTGAGCCTATTTCCCCACCTGCAATCCCCACCGGCTCCCCCTTGAGGGTGCTGAGTGCTATAAAGCAGAGGGCACAAACGAGGCTGTCCATTGCCCTTGAGGTTGGCCAGCGACTGGACCGGCCTGTGTGTGTCCCCGACAGCTTGGAGCAGTAAAGGGGTGGGAGCTTCAACGGTGGGACCCACGAGTGAATGGCCACTTGTTCCTCCCATCTCTGGCCTCTTTCCCCATCTCCCACCATGTCCTTTGGGCTCTGACCCTGAGCTCTCCATCATGACCACCTTGGCCCATGGTACCATGGCCAGGGTCAAATGCAATGGCTTTCCACTGGTCTCCTTGCCCCTGTTTATTTCCTCTTTTTTTTTTTTTTTTTTTAATTATAAGAATTGTGGTAAAATATACAACATAAAATTTACCATTTTAACCATTTTAAAGTGTATGATTCAACCCCAATAAAGATGTTAAAAAAAAATAAAGTGTATGATTCAGAACTTTATCATCACTCCAAATGGAAGCCCCATACCCATTAACTGTCACTTCCCATTCCCCCCTCTCCCCATTCCCTGGCAACCCCTAAGCTGCTTTCTGTCACTATGGGTTTGTCTCTTCTGTATTTCACATTAATGGAATCATACAATGTGTGGCCTTTAGTGTCTAGCTTCTCTGACTTAGCATGTTTTCAAGGTCCATCCATGTTGTAGCATGTATCAGTGCTTCGTTCCTTTTTATGGCCAAGTAATGTTCTGTTGTATGGATAGACTGCATTTGGTTTATCCATTCATCAGTTGATGGGCATTTGCGTTGTTTGCATCTTTGGGCTATTGTGAACAATGCTGCTCTAAAGATTCTCGTACAAGTTTTGTTTTTACACCTGTTTCAGTTCTCTTGGGTATACACCTAGGAGAATTGCTGGGTCATATGTTAACTCTATGTTTAGTTTTTGAGGAACCGCCACTCATTTCCTTTTGGTCCATCACGGACCCTGTAAAGCTTTAAAACTCTCAGCTTCTGTGTCCAACTCCCCAAAGGCTTCTCCTCACACTCAGAATAAAATCCCAAACTCCACATGTGGCCCAAGGCAGTTTCAACTGGCTCCCACCGGACTCTCCACTGTTGCCTCTTCCTGGGCCCCCTCTCACTCCTTACCTTCCAGCCACACTGGCCTTTCTGCTGCTTGAACATCAAGCTTTTCCCTGCCTCAGGGCCCTTGCCCATGCTGCTCCCTTAGTTCAGGGGACTCCTCAGACCTGTGTTTAGGACACACTTTCCTCAGATCTTTGCCTGGTGGGTTATTTTTCCTCAAGGATTCAGGCGCACTCTCCTCTCCTGAGAAGCCTTCCTGGACCATCCTAACATCCCCCTACTCACTCTTGGTCCCACCCAGCCTCTCATTTTCTCCATAACATGCATGGCCATCTGAGGTTTGTTCTGTGGGCTTCTGGGCTGTTTCCCAGGCTTCTAGGTGCTTGGCAGGTGCTTGCTGAGTGATGAGATGTGAATGAGCATGGAGATGAACAAGGTGTGAGTGAACTGGTCTCCCCGGCTGGCCCCTGGATGCCTTACCCGCCCACTCTGTGCTCACCGGGAAGGCCAGCTGGCAAATGGGGGCCATCCAAGACTGGCGGTGCTGTGCGGCCAGCAGGTGGCTTCGCTCCGTGGTGGTGAGCAGGAAGGCACCAGTGTCCCGCGGGCAGCTCTCACCGTCAGCCGGCAGCACGGATACGCAGTCAGCCAGGCGGATGACCCGCCGCTCTCCTCGCCGGCCAGGCCCCACAGACCTGTCACTTGCTGGCCCCAGGCCACCATCCCGGACCTCCCAGCTTTCTAGCCGTGCCACGCCTGATGGGCCTCCTGCATACAGTAGACCCCATACCTTCCGCCAGGACTTCTGCAGGAGATGAAGATGGGGGAGATGACCCTCGGGTGGCAGTTCTCCCTGCAGCTCAGCCTAGCACAAGCCACTTAGCAAACACTCCTGGCCCCCTAGGCTAGCCTCTGCCTCTCAGCTCTTCAGGCCACAGAGGATGCCTCGCCAGAGCCAGCCCGGCAGCAGGAAGCATCTGTGCTTGGAGTTGGTCAGCCCTAGCTTCAAATCCACCTCACGCTTTCCTAACTGTGACCGCCCCCCCCCCCCATAAGCACTAGGATCCTCGTCTCTCAAAAGATTATGAGAACATGGGGCTGGGGCTTCTACTGGGCAATGTCTGTTAAGTATCTAGTGGCCAGAGCAGACCACCTGACACTACTGCTTTGTTGGTGCACCCACCCCCTGTAAAGAAAAGGTCAATTGGGCCACGGGACAAGGGCTGGGGCGGGAGGGAGGCCTCAGTCTCATGATGGCAAGGAAGGAAACATGCAAATAGCGTCGAACAAAGGAAACAGACGGTTTATCTGCCTGGGCAGCAGCTGCAGCTGAGCTGTGGGTGTGCAGGGCCTGCTACCCCAGGACAGGGCTGGGAGGAGCTGAGCCCTCTTCTGCAGGATGGAGCTCCACTTTTGGGGGCTCCTCCAGCTCAGCCTCCAGCCCTCTCGAGGGGCCACAGTGCCACTAGTAGATGGGATGCCTCTCAGCTCTGCCCTGCCCCAAGGGTTCCATTCTTGGCTCCCCGCTCTTGGCTTCCCATCTGTAAATGAGGCAGGGTCTCGAAAAGGCCCACTCAGCCCAACCCGCTCAGGCTGAGAATGGGGCTCTGTTCCACTTCCCCACACCTGGGTTGGATTCCCCACCTGGACTCCTACCCCCATTCTCCCAGGTTCTGGTGGGCTGTCCAAGGCTGGGGCAGAGGCCCACCATCTGTCCTAGGCAGCTGCCTGGCAGCCAGGGTCCCCACCTTGCCAAATTTGATGTGCTGCTGGTAGAGGATGCCGTCCTTGATGGGTGTCTCCAGAGGCTCCATGGCCATGGCCGCCGCTCCGAGGGCCTGAGGAGACTGGTGACGGGCCGGAGGGGAACTCCTCACACTTCCCCTTCTGGCCACTTCCCCCTCCCTCTGTCCAGAGAGGCAGCTGCAGGATTGGGGGAGGGGAGCCCTGTCTTCGGAAAAGGAGCTAGGATGGGGGTGAAGGGCATCACATATTTCTTCCTTGGGGTTCCAGCTGGCCCAAGGTAGCCACTAGTGTCAGGCAGGGGCCTTGGACCACCTGAGGGCAGATGACCCGTGCCTGCCTGGGTCAGCTGGGTATGAGCCTCTGACCGCAGGCTGGCTCCCGAATCAGGAGCTCCTACCCTTCCCCCATCCTGGGGCAGTTGTGTACCCTGGGGCCTGCCATTCCCACAGCCTGGTCCCTACCCCAGGACCTTTCTCTAGCCCGATGGGCAAAATCCTTGTTTTCCCCCTTGGAGTCCTGGTTGGTCTGCTTGTCTTTATTCTGGAAATAGTTCTAATGTTCACTTGCTCCTCTCCATCTTCACAGCCCCTATCCATTGCCAGCTTTGGCATCTCCCCTTTCAACCACGTCCCCACCTGGGCCCACCGGGCCCTCTCTGCTAACCCCAAACCAACCTGTCTCTCCCCTCCCTAAACACTTCCTGGCTCCCAGTGCCCTGAGGTTTAGCTTGGACTCCTTGGCCCAGCATTCAGGGTGCTGGGTATTCTGGCCGCCACCTCCCCCAGCCTGGCCCCTTCAGGGCACCTCTCACCGTGCTGCTCAGGGCTCTGGAACTTCTTCCTCTGGGAGGCCTCCCCAGACCACCCCACACTGTCTGAGAGCACAAAGGCCCCAGCCCTTATGGCACAGCCCCAGCCACGTGAGCGTGGGTGGCACGCCCCCAGCGGGTTCCCTGGAGAGCTCACAGGCTTTTGAAGCTCTGCTTCTTGCTAGAGTCCTGTTTCGGTCTTGTCTTCCTGGAGGCCAGTATGGGAGCTCTGCATATGAATCTGAATCCTGAGGACAGCCTCGTTTCAGTTATTCAGTGCCACCTCTGGGAAGGAATGTGTAAACAGGCTGAATACTGTTTGGGGGTCACATGTGGGGTGTGTACCTTCTCGGGCAGGAAATCTTTTCCAAGGGCCTCATTCACCTGGCTTTGTGCCCACTGTGGCCCAAGCAGCCCTGAGCTCTGGCAGCCTCAGACACCGTGTCCTTTGCATTCTCATTGCCATTTCAGCGATGAGGAAATCAAGGCTCAGAAACGTTAAGTAACTTGCTCTAGGCCATACACCAAGTGACAAACATGGCTTGAGCAACTGCTGTCCTGCTGGGATAAGCATGTGGCCTTGCACATGAAATGCCTGGACAGAGGAGCTATCACCAATGCTTTTTCTGTCTACCCCTTGCAAGATGTTGAAATCCTGGCCCATTTGCCAGCAGTCCCGTGACCACCACCCACATTTATTCATGGCTGATCTATCTGTCCCACTCACCTGTGAACTCCTCAGAGGGCATCTGCCTGGCTCATTTGTGTCCCGAGCCCAGCAGATACCTGGGCACAGAGCTGGCTCAGTGGGTGCTTGTGGCCTGAGTGGCAGTCCTGTGGCATCTGCTGCCCCCTTGGCAAAGAGAGCACAGGGTTCCCTACTGGGAGCCTGTGTGGGCAAGGGGCCTGAGGCAGGAAGTCTCCTCCTAAAGGGCCTTAGGAGAAGCCCCAGGACCTTTACACTGTGACAGGAAGAGGGAGGCTGGGCTGGAGATTATAACAGCCAACCAGAAAGACCAGTAGACCCAACCAACCATTTCCCCTTGGTCCATCAATGTGGTTCTTCTCTGAGTCATAAATCCAGGTAGACTAGAGGAAATACCCTAAGCCCCCAGAGGGGAACCTGGGTAGGCAGCTCCTTCCACAACTGAGTACCAGCAGGTGTGGCAGTAGTGGTGGGAGATGCCAAGGCCCTACCTGAGAGGGGCTCTGGAGGTCAGAGGGTGAGGGCTGCCCAGGAAGCACAGGGCAGAGAAGGCAAAACACAGAGGCTGAGACCAAAAAGGCTGGTGTTTTAATGGCAGCTGGGGTAAAGAGGAGCAAAAATAGTAATTCTGGGGGGCACAGGGAGCAGGCAGCCAGGTCCAGCCTGGCCCAACCCAGGCCAGCTGGGCCGAGGATGCTGGCTTCTTGCCCACGGGGCAGGGGTGTGTGGGAGGTGGCTGGAGCCTCAGGGACGGAGGCCCCTTGGAGAGAAAGAGGGATGACAGCCAGCTCAGAAGTCCATGGAGCTGTGGGCCAGGTAGTCCTTGCGGCCGATGTTGCTAACCTGCTTCGTCTGCATAGCCTCGAGTTTGGGGCAGTCGGTGATCCGATGGCCCAGGCCCCCACAGAAGGCACAGCCACGCTCTCCTGGGGGAATGGGGTAGCGGTGGGTGGGGGAGGAGGGTCAGCATGGTGATGGGGCCAGGCTCTGTGCCCCAGACCCTGGGCCCCCATCAGACCCCCAGACCGCTGAGGGGCAGAATGGACTTGTTCCGTGGTGTTCCCATCACGCCCCCATTGGACTAGTGTCTCCCACCCCGTGTCACCTCCAATGTCCAGCATGGACTCGTCCCCGCAGTGCAGTACTTGCAGCACGGGTGGAACCTTCTGCTTGGCCTCCAGCAGCAGGGCTTTGAGATCCATCAGCACCGACTCATCTGTGGGGGTGGCGGGGAACCATCAGGTCCAGCCCTGGGCCCTGTAGCCAGGACCTGGCTGGTCATAGGTGGAGGACCTGGGGGACAGCCAAAGGTGGCCCTGGTGGCAGACTCACCACAGGCCTTGTTGATGAAGGTGGTGGCAATGCCTGTGTTTCCTGAGCGCCCAGTGCGGCCGATACGGTGCACTGCAGAGAGAGGGAACAGAGCATCTGGCCCACTGCCCAGGGGCTGGGGCCTAGGCCGCAACCCCAGCCCCCCAAACAGCCCACCATAGTTCTCGATCTCCTCAGGCATGTCATAATTGATGACGTGCTGGATGGCAGGGAAGTCCAAGCCCTTGGAGGCTACGTCTGTGGCCACTAGGACATCCTTCTTGCCCTCCCGGAATGCCTCGATGGCCTTGGTCCGTTCCTCTTGGTCTGGGAAGAGTCAGGCAGGAGCTATTAGAGCGACAGCAGGAGTCTGGGGAGTAGTGGCAGGCCGGCCAGGTAGGGGAAGGGATAAGATGAGGGGCTGCTATGGCAGCGGGGTCCATGCCTATGCACGTGCCACGCTAACCTTTGCCTCCATGGATGGCCACAGCCTCGACCCCCTTGAGGAGCAGGTACTCATGGATGGCGTCCACATCTGCTTTCTTCTCCGCAAAGATGAGCACCTGTCCAGGAAAGCCAACTCCAGTCACAGGGGCTGACTCCTGGGCGCCCCCACAACCTTCCGCCAGCATGCTGCCCCTGGGCTAGCCTGGTTGGCAGCACTCACAGGCGGCGGTGTCTTCTGCAGGCACTCAAGCAGGTACACCATCTTGGCTTCCTCCTTCACATATTCCACTTCCTGTCACCACCAGGATCAGGTTAGGTGGTCCTGAGAACAGGCTCACCAGCCATGGCCCTGCCACAGAGGATGGGCCCCCAGTCCCAGCTAGGAGGTGACCAAAGAGCCTCTTGCCAAGGGCTGGGTACCATGAGAAGGCTTCCTGCTAAGGGCTGTGGCTGTGAATGAAACCCCTAGTGCCCACAAGGTGGCCCCCCACCCGGCTCCGATCAGCTAAGGGAGCCTCGCCAGATCCAGCCCTCACAGGTGAGACTGCCCATCAGGAGTGCTTGCCCACCTGGATGACATCCAGGCTGGCAGCCCCGGCACGCCCCACATTGATCGTGACAGGCTTTACCAGGGCACTCTTGGCAAAGTTCTGAATCTTCTTAGGCATGGTGGCACTAAAGAGTAGAGTCTGTCGCTGGCCCTGAGGAAGAAGAGGGCTGGGGCTGAGGGCACGTGGGGGCTGGGGAGCCTGAGGGGCTGGGACAGTGAGTGGGCAGCACAGGGGCTTAGGGCCCTCCAGAGTTGAATGCGGTGTGTAGGGGGAAGGTGGCAGGAGCGTCCCGGCCAGGTGGGAAGGGCACCTTGAAGTAGGAGAAGATGGTACGGATGTCACCCTCGAAACCCATGTCGATCATGCGGTCAGCCTCGTCCAGGGCCAGGTAACGACAGATATCCAGGCTGACCATCTTCTTCTGCAGCAGATCCATGAGACGCCCAGGGGTGGCCACCATCATGTGCACACCACTGGGGACCAAGGAGGGACACTGACGGCAGGGCCACCTGCTAAGCCCTACCTAGAGGCCGGCACTCCACCTTGTTCTGCCCTCCAGCCTCTTTCCTATCTCTCCTCACCTGACGCTCCTTGTCACTGCCACCACCTTGCTCTATGGACGGCACAAGGCTCTCCTGGAGAGCGCTGCAACCTTCTCGACCACCACTCTGTTCCACTGCTCTACCCGAGCCATGTGGTCACCTCGGCCCCACACACCCTTCCCCCAGGTCACTCCTCTTGCCCCCAGGAGGACGGTCCTACATCTTCAGATAGGCCTCAGCCTGTGCTCCCACAGCTCCCTTTGTAGACCTCAAAGGCTCACTTTCATGGTACAATGAACTCATCTTTTCCACGTCTACATCCTCCCTGACTAGCAACGCCTATGAAACAGGAACTGGGTTTGGCCTGTCTGTAACCCTGGACATCTACTGCTATCTGTTGGGAACTGCACTGTGTGGAAAGGGCACAGGTCCAGCCATGCCCCAGAGCCTCAGCCTCCTCAATGGGTCACAATGAACAACCCTGACCTTCCTGGACACCCCGGGGCCTCCACCTCTTTGCCTTCTGCCTGGAATGCCCCGACTCCTTGACCTCCCAGATGCCCCCGTTCCATCTGCTGTGTTCCCACAGTACCTCACCACATCCCTCTGTCCCACCCCAACCAACCTCCCCATTAGACTGGGGGCTCATTGAGGGCTGGGCCCATGAGAGGCCTCCGCAAGGATCTGTCGAGTGGCTAAAGCAAAGGGTCCTTTAGCTTGTTTAGGTAGGGGCTTTGGGGAAGCCCTTGGGGCGGGGGTGCCTATACTCACTGTCGGATTGTCTCCATCTGCTCTTTGACGGACATGCCCCCGATGCAGAGAGCACAGCGCAGGAGTGGAGAGCTGTCCTCCTGCAGCAGGCGGCAGTAATACTCCAGGATGCCGTGGGTCTGCCGGGCCAGCTCCCGCTGCAGATACAGGGGCAGTGGCTGGCACCAGAAGGTGACCCCATATGCGCCCTGCCCTCCAGGCCAGGCTATCTTACCGAGGGGCAGATAATGAGTCCATAGGGCCCTTCACGCTTAGAGAAAGGTAACCTCTTCTCTTGCTCCAGGCAGAACATGATGACCGGCAAAGTGAACACCAGTGTCTTGCCTGAACCCGTGAAGGCTATGCCTATCATGTCACGGCCAGATAGACTGGTGAGAGAAGAGAGGCCTGAGGGTCAGTTTCAGTGGAATACAGGGACTGCTTCTCATCTAGCAACCACTCCTCCCCAGGGCCACCAGGTTCACACTCACATGGTGGGAATTCCCTGGATCTGAATGGGTGTTGGGTGGTGGATGCCCTTCTTCTTCAGGCCTCTCAGGATGGCTATAGAAAACAACACTGGCATTATCTTTGTGTCTCATAGGTACTTCAACAAGCCCCCAAAGCCTATAAAGTTGGCACTATGTCCTTCACGTTACAAATGATGAAACTAAGACCCAGGAAAAAAACAGAAAGAAAAACAAACACACAGACTTGTCCAAGGCCTCTAGGTTAAGCAGAGGCAGGATTCACACCCAGGTCTGTTTAAGGCCGTCATCACTTGCCCACCAAAGCTCCCCAATGACAGAAATTGGTAAATATGAACAGTTGCAACAACTGAAAAAGGAACATAAAGACAAATCTCTCCTTCTCAAATCCCTCATCCCCACTGACTAGACCCAATGCTGCAGTTGCTGGGCTTGGTGGGGGCTAGGCTGCAACCTTGCAGATGTTTCCCTATCAAAATGTGGTGTTGCTCCCAGCTCCCAGGCACCTGCAGGAAATTTCATTTCCTTGAAGCTCTTAATGGGTGGTGGGATACCATCTCCTTCCACCAAGATGTGGTACTTCTTCCGTACACGCTCATGCCGCTCTTCAGACATGCTCAGGACGTAACGTGGTGGTGTCCAACTGTGGGTGGGTGGCAAGAGTCAAGAGAGCCCCTGGGCACAGCTGGCTTTGGGGTGTTCTCGCCAGTCTCCACCACACACTGTCTGAAGTAAGAGTGACTGACTTTCCAGACTGGAAAGACATACCTAGTTTTGATTGGATCGTCATACGTGATTCCCTTAGCCATCTCCTTCACTGACATCAAGGCTGAGGAAACAGATGTGGCTCAGGGCTGGTTCCTGCTTCCCAGAGGCCAGGCCCTTTGAAACATAACATGCCTAGGACTGGGGAAGGAGGCTCAGTCCACCTCCTCTCTGCCCTAGCTACAGCCATACCTCGACCCTCAGCCACACTCTCCAGGATCTTCTCCTCTTCCTTCAGTTGCTTCTCTTTGGCAGACTCCTTGCGGGCTGACCAAACAAGCAGAAGGTGTCAGAGAGACACCAAAGCAGTGCACCAAGCTGAGCCTCCCGCCTGCTGCCCAGCCCACCTTCAGCCTTCTCTTTGAGGTGCTGGTGCTGATCCAGGAGGCTGACGTTGGACTGAGGGCCCAACGGGATGTCGTCCTCATCTCCCCGGGCCTCGCTGCCGCTGTCCTGCTGCTCCTCTTCCGCAGCTCCCTTGCGTCTTCGCTGCAGCAGCTTCTGGAGCTGAGGTTCCACCAGCGCCCCTCAGAGCCGAGCCCAACGCACAGTGGGGCATCGGGCCCAGGGGCCTGAGTCAGGATCCTGGCTTTCGGGAGAGGGTTCTGTGCCCCGAGGCGCACAGCTGCCCCACCCCTCAGATCAGGTCGCCAGTTCCTCGTTTGCCTGGGGACCACGCTCCCGTGTACTGACACCTCACTCCGAAGACCGGGCGCCACCCCCCATCCCACCGCCAAACCCCCATCTCCTGCCCTCGTTCCACCCTCGAGCTGGGGCCCTCACCAGCAGTTGCCGGCGCTGTCGCAACGGCACGTACGGCACGTAGTCCTCGTCGTCCTCATCGTCTGCCTCAGAGCGGCTTCCTGTGGCAGTCGCCTCGTCGGTGCGAGCCCGCTGCAGATACACACGAGTCAGATCCGGACCCCCGCCCCCCCACTTCACGATCGCTCACCACCCGCTCGGACCCCAGCCTGGTTCCCACCTTCCGCTCGGGTTCCGATTCCTCCATCCTCTGCTGCACGCATGCGCACCGCGGAAAACCCCCCCCCCCTCCACCCTCGAGCTGGGGCCCTCACCAGCAGTTGCCGGCGCTGTCGCAACGGCACGTACGGCACGTAGTCCTCGTCGTCCTCATCGTCTGCCTCAGAGCGGCTTCCTGTGGCAGTCGCCTCGTCGGTGCGAGCCCGCTGCAGATACACACGAGTCAGATCCGGACCCCCGCCCCCCCACTTCACGATCGCTCACCACCCGCTCGGACCCCAGCCTGGTTCCCACCTTCCGCTCGGGTTCCGATTCCTCCATCCTCTGCTGCACGCATGCGCCCCGCGGAAAACCCCCCCCCCCGCCTCGCCTATGATGAGATCCAATCAGATGTGCAGAAGCGGACGTCGGCGCCTAGCAACGACCTCTAAGTGCCGGATCGCGCAGAGGGACAAATTTTCTCCTGAGCCCCTGTCTTGCGGTGTGGCGTCTCCGCCCCCTGTGGGCGGCTACGCAGCTGTTGCCAGGGCTGAGGGCGAAAGCGTCAGGCAAGGCATTGTGGGACGCTGGAAGACTTGGAGCACGCCCTGAAGGCGCAAACCGAGTCGGGTTGAGTCGTGGGGACCGCTGATCCCGAAGACGGCGGTGTGCTGGGTCCCCAGCCTCGCCCAGGGCGTGACGTCACCCGGCACGCCCCCGCCGGCTGACACTGCGCCCTCTCGTGGCCGGGGAGCTGTGGGACCCAGCCAGCTGGGATCCCGCCCCGCTCTCTATCCCGCCCCCATTAACCGGCGCGGGCCAAGGAGGGCAGGGCGGGGCTTGAAAAGAAAGTGACTCAACACATGCTGCCGCTCTGACTGGTGTTCTCATCTGTGAGACACCTATGTTCAGAGTGGTGAGGGATAAACAAAATGATGACGGTGGGTTTTAACTGAGGGCCTGTATATGTATGTAAACGATTATTAATGTAAATGCTGTAACAGAGCTCAGAGAGTGACTGGGGAACCAGAGAAGGCTTTGAGGAGACCTGGATCTCAAGTTACAAGGAAGTGTGGAATCTCAGAGGTGGGAGTGCAAGAGAGGGAGAGGCTTCCTGATAGAGGGTCCAGCAGGAGTGAAGTTCTGGCCATGTGCAAGTTCCCAGGGAACAAAGTGATCACGTGGCCCGTGTGGGGTTGGGTAGTCAGAGCTAAGGCTTTAAGGTAGACCCAGAGCATGCAGGGCCGAGACTGTCAGGGTGATTTCAACTTCACTGGGAACTTTTAAAGAGGAGTGGTGGGTCAGTGCTGTTTTCTTCCTTCATATATTAAATATGAGTATGTGCTGGGCATTGTGTGTAGTGTCGAAGCAGATAAAAGATGAACAAGACACAAACCTGGCTTGTGAGGACCTTACAGATTAGGTGAGGAGACAAACATAGATAACTGGTCTTGAGATTAAGAAATCTCTAAGACACAAAAGGTACCACTTTTGGAATTAGCATAAACGCAGGGCAAACTTGATTCTCACAGTAAAAGTGGCTTCTCAGTTGAAAGAAAGGGATGTGAAAGTTAAGGTGGAATTCATGAACAAAGTGTTAACTGGGAAGAGGGAAACAAGTGAGCAAAAGTCAGAAGCCCCGAGGGTGCCAGGCCTAGCTGGAGACTGAGGTCATCAGGTGTGAAGAGAGTGTGCCAGAGGCAGGGGCCGGGCTTAGAGGGCCCTCAATGCCATTCTCAAAAGTCTTCTTTCTCTGTATGTAAAGTGGCTGCTTGATCAGACCTGCAACTTTGAAATGATGAAGCAGAATTTTAGATAGTTCTGACAATTCAATTGCAGGGCAGAAGCCTAGTGTAAGAGCTGAAGGGAGAGAGGAGCACAGGTAATAAATATACAGAGAGAGAGAGAGCGTGAGTGTGTGTGTGTGTGTGTTCAACCTGGGAGGAAGGAAGGACTGGTTTCCGATTCTGCTCCCAACACTCCACAAAGGGCTCTTAGTGACTGCGTTGCCACTACCACTGTCGCTCTGCACATTGAGCTCAGGCTAAGAGCTGGTTATAGTAGGAAAATGGCATTGGAGGTGAGGATTCGGGACAAAAGTGTGTGTGAGGCATTTCTAGCAAACTATTATATTAAAATCTGAATTCACAAACCAGATCCACGGTGGCAAGGGGGGGATGAGATAGTTCATTACTCTCCTAACTCTCAACTACTTAGGCTACACGTCCATTCCCACTGTAAAGTCAAATCCAATTTATAAAAACTCCATTTACCACCAGCTTCCCCTGACAACTCCAATCGTCCAGGCTATAGATGCACAGTTCACAAAGTCCTCAAGCCTTCCCCTGACACCTTCTCACATCAGCTGCACAGAGATCAAGTTGCACCCCTCCAACTCACCCATCTTGGACGGAGGGAAACTGAGACAGTGTGGGGAAGGGGCTGCTCAGGGTTTCCATACCAGAGTCCTCCCAACGGGTGAAATGGCACAAATGCTGCTGGCATACAGGCCTATGCTCTAATCCTAGTTCATCAAACTGAACTCAGTAGAGTCACCTTCTTGTCTGAGCTTTAATTTCCACATCTGTAAAATGGAATAACAGTCCCACTTAGCATTGCTTTGAGAATTAAGCAGAAACGATGCCAACCTGTTGACAGGTAGCACATGCTCAAGAAGGTTAATGACTAAGAAGGACTCCAATGCTTCTGAGTACATCCTTCACCCTCACTCCCCACCCAGACAAGCGAACCACCAACATACCAACTCTGTGTCCAAATGTTGCTTTATCTTTCGGCAGGAAAGATCTTCACAGTATCAAAAAGAATTGAAAAAACAAGTAAAACAAAAACAAAATACCAAACACAAAGCAGTGTTGGGCCAGCAGTACCATCAGCCCCCAAACCCAAAGGCCAGCCCAGCCCCCGGGCTCTGAGTGTGGAGGCTGCGTAGCACCAGGAAGCGGTTCTGCAGAGATCCTGAGGGGCCCCAGCACACACGGCATCTATTCAGCTTTTGGTTGGTCCGGGATGGCAGGGAGGGTCTTGGGCAGGTGGGTGGCGATGTGAAGGAAAAAGGTGTAGACCTTCAGCTGGCGGTCAGGGTCTCAGGACACCCTGAAGAAGCTTGATCTGGCAGGGGCTGAGAAAACAGAAGAGCATGGCCACATGGTGAGCAATGGCTCCCACCCTAGCCTCCCCATGCTGGCTCTGAGTCTCCACAGGTGCCTATGGAGGCAGGAACAGCTGCCTACTATTTTTGTCCCCTGGGCTGAAAACACTGAACAGACGATCACCTCCAGAAGGGGATGAAGGTTAAGTCACAGTTGGGGGACAATGCCCCGGCCCCAGTGAACATCATCCTAAATCTCAAGGAAAGTGGACAACACTCGAGGAGTCCACAACGCTCTGCTGTAGGCCAGGGTGGAATAAGAGCCCAGCCTCTGGCATTGCGCTCCTGTTGACAGTGAAGAGGCCACCTATGCACTCAGACTCCTGCCTCAGGCTCCAGGTACATGGCCCGGGCTGGGTCCCGAGTCTGTGCCAGCACTGCTTTCTTACGCACTTGGGGCTCACGATCACGCTATGAGGAGGGTGGAGAAGGTCAGAGGAGAGCATTCACTGGAGGGGAGCATCCCCTGTCTTGAGAAAGGGATCAGCCAAGAGGGAGTGGGAGAAGATTATGGCTGGATGAGGTTTCCTAGATGACAGGGGCATTGGGCTGTGGGAGGAGGTGTGACCCGTTTTCTCTCATGAAGGGCAACAGATGAAGGTGCCTGGGGTCCTTGTAGCTCCTGGTTCTTATGGAAGTGGTGAAGAAAGGCAGGAGGGCAACCCAGCCCTAGCAGAAGCTCCTGGGGGCATGGATGTATCAGTCTGGCAAAGGATCAGGAAGCCCAGGCCCACAGAGCAGAGGGGATGAGGTGAGTCTGAGGACAGTCCTGACTCTGGGGTAGTACAAATGTGCCATAGGGAGCCCAGCCCTGAAGGCTGCCCCTGGGAAGCTGAGGTCAGTGTCAAGGGTGGGGGGATCCTCACCCAAAACGGGACTCGGGGACTCAGCCCAGGGTCCAGAAGTCTGTTTCCCTGGCACTGGAAAGAGGAGGAAGAGGACAGGTGAGGACATCTCCTGGGGGGTCCCTGAGCTCAGCCCACTTGCCCCAGCTTCCTGTTGCCTTGAAGGCAGCTGTGTGGTTGCCAGCCAGAAAAGGCCTGACCCCAGGGATGCATCTTAGGGTGAACTATGACACTGCATAGCCATTAAGCCCCAAGCCCAGGACCAAGGCCTGCCAGACAGCCATCTCTTTTGCCCTTGGTTCCCAGACCACCACTGCCTTCTCAGTTTTCAGCCTGGAACATCATCTGATATGTCAATATTTCAGACAAAAGGACCCTTGCAGGTGACTGGGAGAGGAGGCCAGAGCCCAGGTGGGGGCCAGGCTCTTCTTCCAGGAGGCGGTTTCACTACCAATTTCCTCATGGAATCTGTCCTGTTTGGGGAAGAGGGCCTACCTATTCCTCTATGCCTAAATGACTTCCAAGGCCTTGGTCTAGCGTGGCTGCCCTGTCACTGTTCCCTTGGGGCTGTGTCCTCTTAGCATGGCTTCAACTTGGAAGCACCCTGGTAGCCTGCATGGAGAAGCCAGGCCAGGCAAACGAGATTCAACCCTCAGGCTGATGTCAGGCATGGGGGCAGCCCTCTGAGGCCCACGGCCTCCTGGACACTTTGGGAAGCAGCTGGTGAGGGAAATAGAGGCCTGGCAGTGATACCCCAGGAGATGGCAGGGCTGGAAGGGCCCTTCAGGAACACAAATAGGAGGGCTCTCAGGAGAAGAGATGTGGCCAGCCGAGCACCTAGTCCAACTCTCTATGCCCCAGAGCATGAAATGGCCTGGCAGGGGCACAAAAGTTGGCACAGCATGGGAAGAGGGGGTGCATGCAACACTTGAAGGGGGTCTCTATACCTCACTGAGCTGTGCTGGGAGTGGTTTTCTTGAGGCTGAAGTTGGTCCAGTTCACGGCAACTTTCTGACGCGTTTGCTTTGCAGAATCCAAACAGAACCTGTTAGGTTCGGGAGATGCCAGAGAAGCACAATCAGAGGTTCCCTCCTCTCTCCACTGGACCCTCTTCTAGACCTGTGTATCATGGTCACTAAAGAAACCAGGTCAGCTCTGCACAACCCCTCTGGCTCCCAGGTGTTGGGGTCTAGCAGTATGGGGCTTCCTGGATGAGATGCCCACAGGCCCAGGGGACAATGTGTAAAGAGAGTGGCAATGCCTTAGGATACAGCCTCCCTCCTCACCCTGTGTTTTACTCTAACTATACTGAGATGCCTTCTGTCCCTTCAAGGATGATGTGTTTCTTCTGCCCTCAAACTCTTTCCATTTTACTTGGCCCACTCATACCTATTCCTCAGGTTTCAGCCTGGTTACCACCTTCTTTGGGAGGGCTGCTCTGGCCACCCCATCTCTCAGCTTGGCCGTTCCTAGGTCCTAGCCCCATGCCCTTACTCCTCGGACAGCACTTATCACTGGATTGTATGTTTATGGCTCTCTCTCCCCACCTAGATGGACTTAGTGTTTGATTTGCCTCTGCCCCCAAAACTCATCCCAGGCAGAGCAGAGGAAGTGCAGGTGAATAAAACTGGAGAAAGCCCTTGTTCTTGGGGCCTGACATGCCTCCTGCTCCCTGTCCCTTGCACCTTCCCAGATGACCTGTCCTGCCAAATCATCCTGGCTACCTGTGTCCCAGTAGATAGGCTGGTGGGAGAGAGCCTGGAGGGGCTGGACAAGCTCTCCCTCCAAGGGCACATGGCTGAGGGTGAGGCCTTTCTGAGAGGCTTGAGTGTGTGTGTGTGTCGGGG